AGGGCCCTATGAATGCAAGGAGTGTGGCAAAGGTTTGAGTTCCAACACAGCCTTGACTCAGCATCAGAGGATCCACACGGGGGAGAAGCCCTACAAGTGCAAGGAGTGCGGCAAGGCCTTCCGCAGGAATGCAGCCTACCTTCAGCATCAGCGCTTACACACGGGGGAGAAAATCTATAAGTGCAAGGAATGCTGGAGAGCCTTTGGTTGTAGGTCACTTTTCATTGTCCACCAGAGAACTCATACTGGGGAGAAGCCCTACCAGTGTAAGGAGTGTGGCAAGGCGTTCACACAGAAGGTAGCCTCCATTCAGCACCAGAGGGTGCACACTGGAGAGAGGCCTTATGAGTGTAAGGTGTGTGGGAAAGCCTTCAGATGGTACAGCAGTTTTGTTCAGCATCAGAAATTGCACCCCGTGGAGAAAAAGCCCGTCCTGGCGAGTCCCCAGTGCCCCTCTTCAGCCTTGTCGCCGGGTCCTCTCCAGAGCCTGTGCTTGGCTCCCGCTGTGGCCACACCCTCGCTGACCTTCCCGCAGGCTGTGCTCCTTCCTACCTCTGGGCCTTTGTTCGTGCTGCTGCCCACATCTGGAATGCCTTCGCCACCTGTCCAAATAGTGCAGGTCTTCCCGGGCCTTGCTCCCACTGTCAAGCCTTCCCCGGTTCATCTCGCCTCTCGTGAGCTTTATCTTGCCACGCCCGTGGCGCTCACGCCCAGCAAATCTCCAACCTAATTGGAGTTTCATTTGTATTTTTTTCCTCACCTGACATGTGTTTCAGCTGTTTCAGCGCACACTGCATTGTAATCTATATATTTAAAGATTGTGTTTATATAGTATGTTGTCTTTTCTTCGGGGGATGGAAATACTTGATCTTTGCCTTGGCCCCTTTCTGGCTTGAATAGTAATGGCTGTATTTGTGGGGGTGCTGGTTGGACACTGGGGTGTTAGAGAAGTTTGGGAGAGAGCACATCCCTGTGTTAGGCCATTAGAGAGAAGCAACCTGAGAGAAATGGAGGAGAGTAGAGAATTGTAGTAAATTTGCAACAACAGACTTTAGAAATGAGTGCAGATTGTTGAGAATAGTTCGAGATGGTGTAGTAACGCAGTTGAAGTTGCATTGTCCTCGGCTCGGATCATTGAGGATCTCATACATCTATGCCAAAGCTCGTGTGAGATAACCAGTTTGATTCTCTGCCTTCCCCCGAACCAGTGTCCGTGGTGGAGAGACTGAGAAGCAGGCTGGCAGAGACCTCCAGGGAACATCAGCAGACCTGAATCGAAGGTGTTAACTGTTCCTTAGAGACAAAGCTATTCTAAGATAAAGTGGTGCTTCCCTAACAATAGTGAGATTCACCACAGTTAATGCCACATTGGTGGGACCACTTATTCATTCTCTTAAAAATATTGGGTATCTACTGTGTTCCAGGCACCGTAGGAAAACCAGGGAAATGATGGTGGATGTCCTCACCCTCCTGAATCTTACAGTTATTTGGGGAAGGAAGTGGGACAGATACTTTAACAGATTATTCAAATGTGAAGGAAATGTGTGGGGTGTTGTGCGAGAATCCAGGAAAAAGGAGGGCCTGAGGGAACAGCAAAGGTCCTGAAGTAGGAAGACACATGGCTCATCTCAGATGCTAAAGGAAATCCAATCTGGCGGGGGTGATAAGTGAGGGATGGAGAAAATAGTACAGTGGGGCCTTGACTTAAGAGTGTTCCGACTAACGAGTTTTTCGAGATACGAGCGTTCTCTCGGCCGATTTTTTGCTTTGAGTTGCGAGCTAAAATTCGGGTTACGAGCCAGCTTCAGATACCCCACCGCTAGTTGGCGCAGCAAACGTCACAGTGAACGCCACAACATCAGCCCAGCATCACGTGTCTCACTCGTTCACTTTTTGATTTGACATACGAGTAATTTGAGTTACGAGCTCCGTCACGGAAACGAATTAAACAACTGTTAGCATTGTTTTTCACATTTGGGGGGAAAAATCAGCTTTTAGAAAAAGGCACGGAGGAAATCAGATTTTTTAAGGGGACTTATGCTTTACATATACTGAGGTATATTTTACATGTAAATGATTCACCCGTTTCAGGTATACAATTCAATGATTTTTTTAGTAACATTAAACATGACCATAAATCAGTTTAACATTTTCATCCAGTAAGGTCCCTCCTGCCCAAGCAACCACTAATCTACTTTCTGTCTCCATAAATCTTTTTATGAACAGTTCCTATTTTTTATTAAAAAATTTTTTTAAAATTGATTTCAGAGAGGAAGGAAGAGGGAGAGAGAGAGATAGATCAATGATAAGAATTGTTGATCAGTTGCCTCCTGTATGCCCCCTACTGGGGATTGAACCCACAACCCAGGCATGTGCCCTGACCGGACCAGTGACCTCCTGGTTCATAGGTTGATGCTCAACCATTGAGCCACACTGTCTGGACAACAGTTTCCATTTTTAAAAAGTGCTTTTGGGCTTTCTAGTTACAATATGATGTCCATGCTTAGCTGTTACTTCCCAGCCCTGGCCCTGGAATCAACCATTTCTCCAAGGAGTCCTGATGTGGGACATGGTATTTAGAAACCAAGAGCTGGGGACCAGATGTGGTATCTTGAACATGGATGGCCTGAGGCTGGGATTTGCACATGTCAGCTAGTTCAGGGCTGGGGGGCTGTTGGACATTCACCTGGCTTTCATGTGAAAATGCAAAATGAATGATCAGATGGATCTCTGCGATCTTGGTGCTAAAATATGATGAGGCATTGATTTTTGGTTCTTATTTGAACTTGTCGCCATTGTGTGTGTGTGTGTGTGTGTGTGTGTGTGTGTGTGTGTGTAAGAAAAGAGTAAATAATCTATGATTGGCTGCCATGTCTAATTCATTCGATTTCCAAAGTGCCTGAATGTTGAAAGCTTCAATAAGTGCTTTTTAAATAAATTACCAAAGCATCTTTGTATAAATAGTTATTGCCTTCATCATAATTCATATATACCTCGCCTCCTCAAATAATTCAATTTGTTTCTATTGAGATGTAGTTTAATGTCACCAGAGGGCTAAGCAATATAGAGATTCATGAGCTATAAATTGTAAAAGAGGCCTCATTATGTATTAAAACACATCGTAATATCTGTGGATCTTTGTTTATAAATTGAAGAAATTATTGTCATAATTATAGGATTACAGCAAAAGTTATCTTAAAATAATTAGTGTAAATTGGTAGATAAATGTCACTAGCAAAAGGGAAGTGAACAATGTGAGAAGCAGTAAGTTTAGTCTTTGTTAGTGCAGAAAGGGGCAAAATTCAGCATTGTTTATAAACTTTTACCTGTGCCTAGATTTTAAGCAAGTGGCATTTAAAAAATATATTTTTATTGATTTCAGAGATAGAAACATCAATGATGAGAGAGAATCATTGATTGGCTGCTTCCTGCATGCCCCACACTGGGGACTGACCCCACAATTGGGCATGTGCCCTGACCAGGAATCGAACCATGACCTCCTGGTTCATAGGTTGACACTCAACCACGAGCCACACCAGCCAGGCGAGAAAGTGGCATTTCTAAGAAAGAGTGAAATTGTCATCTTAGAGAGCACAGCGAGCATTAGCCATGGAAGCAAAGGGAAAAGAAAAAGATGGTTGGAGTTATTTCAGTTCCTAACTGGATGCATATATACCCCGCCTCCTCACATAGTTCAATTTGTTTCTATTGAGATTGACTTGAGCGGTCTTCTGACCTTTCTGGGATGTTAGTAATCCAGAGAGGGGATTGAGCCTGTTCAGGTCTCCACCCTCATTTTCACCCCATTTGACAAAAGATTTACACAGTTCTCAATTGTTTCCACATTTGGTCCTCCTCCCCCTCCTCCTCCCCCTCCTCCTCCCCCTCCTCCTCCTCCTCCTCCTCCTCCTCCTCTACCCTATCTAGCTAGCTATCTGGCTATCTCTAAATACTTCCAAGAACAAGAATCTTTTCTTAATGTAACCTCAATGTAGTTATCAAATTCATGAAATTTAACACCGATCTAATACTATTTCCTACTTTATATTCAGATTTTGCCAACTATCCCATTAATGTTGCTTACAGCTATCTGTATTTCTAATTCAGGACCACAGATTACATTTAGTTCTCATGTCTTTCTGGGGCCCTTTGATTTAGAACACGTCCTCAGCCTGCCTTTGTCTTGCATGACTTCTACTTTACCTAATTTGGGTTTGTGTAATGTTTCCTCATTATTAGATTCAGATTATGCATTTTGGCCCCAATATCCCAGAAGGGGTAATGCGTCCTCAGTACATCTTATCTTGAGGCATACCTTGTGGGTTGATTTCATTATTGAAAATAAGGACGTTGCCAAAACCGGTTTGGCTCAGTGGATAGAGCATCGGCCTGCGGACTGAAAGGTCCCAGGTTGATTCTGGTCAAGGGCATGTACCTGGGTTGCGGGCACATCCCCAGTAGGGGGCGTGCAGGAGGCAGCTGATTGATGTTTCTCTCTCATCGATGTTTCTAACTCTCTATCTCTCTCCCTTCCTCTCTGTAAAAAAATCAATAAAATATATTTAAAAAAAAAATAAGGACGTTGACCATTTAGTTAAGGTTGTGTTGATTAGATTTTCCACTGTCAAATTACTCTTTTCCCTTGTGTGGTTAATAGGTACTTTTGTGGGAGGTATTTTGAGTTTATGTAAAGATATTCCTTAGCAAACTCTCACCTAGTCTTGCCTGAGTCATACCCTAATTTCTAAATGGAGATGGTATGGATCTATCAGCATCATCTGTGAAGCAGAAGACAGCACCTGGATCCAGTTTCATGATTTTATTAAATTATCCTTGGCAGGTGAAATGGCTGCAGAGCGCCAGCATGCTTCACACACTTTATTCAGTAGACTGGCAGCCCAGCCAAACAGGTGAGAGCTGCCAGATATTTTTAAACGGAGCTATAAACAACCCCAGGAGAAGACAATAAATTCAGGCTGAGCCTGGGGCCTCTGAGTCCTCAGGTGATGGTTCTCCTGTGACTCGGGGCCAGGTTGACCCTGTAGGTGATCCGCCACTATTCTTAGGACTGGGAAGACCCTTCATCCCTCTGTTGAATTCCTGAATATTTATTTTCAAATTCTACTTAGTTTCTAAGGGTGAGGTCGTTTCCTAGGAAGAAGCTTCACCTCCCCCGCCCCACCTTTTTTTTAAAATAGATTTTTTATTTCAGAGAGGAAGGGAGAGGGAGAGAGGGAGATAGATACATCATTGATGAGAGAGAATCATTGATCAGCTGCCTCCTGCACACCCCACACTGGGGATCGAACCCACACCCGGGCATGTGCCCTGACTGGGAATCAAACCGTGACCTCCAGGTTCGTAGATTGTTGTTCAACCACTGAGCCTCACCGGCTGCGCAAGCTTCCCGTCTTCACGAAGAATCCTTGGACGTATAAGGAACACGTACTGGTCGTACCACCTGCCCCTCCGGCACCAGGCAGTGAAGGGCCGAGGGTCCCTGGCTTCACTGGGGCAGCGGGGCTTGGGCTTCCCCTGGCTCCCTGCATATGGTGCATTTACTCCTCTCAAAAGCGAACCTTTGCTTTCTATTTGTTGGTCCTGGGCGGTACGGTTCCCCGATATACACAGCATAATGAAAAATGGTGCTTCCCACAGAAGGTCCCGAATGGGGTGATTTGTCAGTGACAAAGTCCTGCTGGGCTTTTCTAAGTAGTCGTGGCTCCGGATGGAGTTATTCTCACAGCTAAACAGCAGTGCAGTTATTCATTTAGTCACCAGCAGAGAGAATCAATGCCTGCGGGCTTGTACAAAGATTCAAGTTCAA